ATGTGTGTCTTATACATTGTATTCCGTGCTTCCACTCAGATATCGAGATCTTTATAATCCAGTCAACCACCAGAAGAAACAGGAAAGGAGAGAGTAGACTGTCTTGTCTGACTCCGGTCCCTACTTCGAATGCATTTGTCTGATGTCCTCCTTCATGCACTGTAGTCCGTGATATGAGTTCCAGATACTGTTGAAAATCTTCTCAGAAACTGCATAGTGTGGAAGACGTTTTCATGATGTTCACCTATCCACACTGTCAAACGCCTTCTCATCATCAATGAATTTGATGTACGTTGATGTGTTTCATTCAACTGATTTGATGTGTGCATGATTAAACCTTTTGAAATGCAACTTGTTGATCTCGAAGTTGAGTGTCTATTGAGTCCTTGATTTGGTTCAACAGTTACAATTAATGTGAAACCATAAAATAGAATTGATTTATAGTTGAGGTAGATGATTGTGATAGAATTTTATTCTCTGAATTATAAATCTTTTTCATCATTTCAAAAACCGATTTCCCCCCCCCCCCAAATTATTCATTTAAATCTATTTGTTTTTCTACTTTGTTTAAACAAATAGGAAACTGTAGAATAACAGTTTTATAATTTATATAACACTTAAATTAGTTTAAATGAAAAGATTTTAATCCTTAAGTACTATAGTTTCATTTATTCAGTTAATTGCATAGTTGATGTTATGTAATCATGTAATCAAGAGAGTTATTTAAACATGAAAAACTGTATAAAAGAATATATATACATATATATTGCATACATTTCACACACATGCATACTTTAACGGATTACATCAAGTTACATTTTATGTTTCTAATTTTAACCTTTATGGATTAAGTAACAGCCTGAACGAGTTGTTCTATATCAATATTTTTATGATTACATTTTGTATATATATGCCACCAAATGCCCTGGTACGGCCGAGAGTGGGGAGAGTCCACTCTCCATCTCCAAATGCTCTCACATGGCGACGCGTATGTAGCCTCTGTCGGAGAAGTCTTCTTACTCACTGCCCCTTCGTGACGTGGGTGTTGTTTACGAAATTGAGAGGACGAAAAGCGAACGTCCAGCCCTTTAGTCGGCCTGGTGGACATGGAGAGTCCCCCAAGGGGAGTTGGAAAATAACCCTGATTCTAAACCAATGGTGCACATGGGATCCAGTAAACTGAAGGAACACATGGCGTATGAACCAATCGTTGGTCACCGACTACCATAAGACTACATCTCCTTACTATACTCCACTGTTTTGTGGATCAGACCTTCAGGTGGAAGGCTCCGGGTGTGGCCCTTTAAGAAAACCATCTACTTCGGTTTGGGCACCCGAGTAGTATCAGAGCCTTCACACAAATCAAATGAGATTTGTGTGGCGCATGTGTACTTGGTGCCTCCTTGTACCAATATCCATGTGTTAAAATAAATAAATAAATAATGCTATTGTTGTCGATATATTTATAAGCAAGATTTGGAATATGTAAAAACCTTTACATATTTGAGCAGCATCAATGATGTGCACGGTGGATCTGATGTAGATATGAAGGCTCGAATCAACAAAGCAAGAGCAATATATCTACAATTGAAGAAAATCAGGAACTCAAAACAACTGTCTATCAAACAATACCAAAGTTATAATTTTCAATACAAATGTCAAGACAGTTTTACTGTGTGGGTTGGAAACTTAGAGAAATAGAAGATACGAGTGTTTATTATCGGTTGTCTACTCAAAATACATCAGATCCGTTGACTAGACACTATCATCAACAACTTACTATGGAAGAGAATAAACTAGATTCCAATGGAGAGAGAAATTAAGAAGAAGCGCTAGAAGTGGATAGGACACAGATTGAGGAAGGCACCGAACTGCGTCACAAGACAAATGTTCACTTGGAATCTTTAAAGCCAAACGACAATAGCAAGACCAAGTGCGGGTAACAGGCGTAAGTAAGTCAATGAGTAGCTATGTAAGTACGTACGTAATTTTTTAAATGAAAAGGAAATACTGAAAACAACATTTTTTATTTCCAGAAGGGGGTTTTGTGGAGACTTGTGATTTCAATTGTTGAGATTATGAGTCAGTTGAAGCTAGACCACCTTGGAAAACCCGGAACCACTGAACGGTTGGTGGATGTATCTCTGAACTTCGTGGATTAGTTGAAGTTAGACATTAACACCGTTGGATGTCAACCGACTCTGTGGTCTAGGAGTTGATTGCTCGCGCGAAATCGGTAGGTCCTATGTTCGAGTCGTGCACTGCTGAGGAGTCCTATAATAGGACGAAACGGCCGTCCAGTGCTTTCAGGTTTTCCATGGTGGTCTAACTTCAATTGACTCATGATCTCAACAACTGAAGTATTTTTATTACGATATTATGAATCATTTCTAGTAATAACAAGATCAATTTTAGTAATTACATTTTAATAACCATACTTTGCAACCTGTTGTATAGAAATATTTCTAAATAAGAACTTCCGTCTAAATTTGATTGAAATAACTACACAGTATTTGGACGTCGAGTTGATGTGTGATATCAACTAGGAAAAATGTTGTATTTGTAAAATCTCAACAAATGGATTTGAAATAAACCCAATATTTCACCTGGCAATCTAGGAAATATAATCAAAACATCGAAATTATCGAACAAGATTTGATTATATTTCCTTGAAAATGTTTAAACTAGATTGTCAGGTGAAATGTTGAATGTACTTGATATTTCTTTGTTAAGATTTTACAAATAAATTCTATCTCTAAGAAATATTTCTATTCTTAACTTTTATTCTCTGAAGAAGTGACTTACAATGAGTTACGAAACATCAGAAAATCTAATGTTTCTACTCTTTAGGATATTACAAATGCATTACGTAATATATATATATATATATATATATATATATATATATATATATATATATATATATATATATAATATTTGGATTGTATTCATCCGAGTAAAATGATGATGCTTAGGACTGAGATTGATTCGTCTCTTATTGGCATATGTGCATACTGGATGGATTGCTTCGATATCGCTCTATATCACAAGTATATAAACAAAGATGGATAATGGCTCGCGTTCGATGCACATGCATCTCAGAACTTGATGTTCGCCCCGGGACTCGAACCCAGAGACGTTCGCTTCAAACGTCATCGCGTTGTCTACTTAGCTACTGAATCCTGTATCCCACTCCTAGCCACCGTTCATGTTTGCTTGTAATGCTTGTAACTTAAGGCAATATTGAGACACTCCGTATAGTATGCACTCATGTCAATAAGAGACTGATCAATTACAGTTTTAAACATCAATGAGAAGATTCAAGTAAATAATACCAGATGAATTCAAACTTCGCCCCATTTCAAAAGCAAGTAGCTATCAGAACTCATTAGTTAAGTGGATAATGCGATGGCGTCTGAAGCGAACGGTACAGAGTTCGAGTCCGAGATTGTACATCAACTCTGAGATATCAGTACATCCAACTGACGAGTCTCAAACTGAACAAAATGCGCATCGTGATATTCCACTGCTAGCCACTATCCATCTTTGTTTATATTCCACAGATATAGTTTTCATATTAGTTTGATCTTTGATAAACTCCAAATATATGTTACAATTTATACGTTGGAGGACTAATATCTAGCCCATAATTAAATTACTAAATTTATTTTCTTCATATATACGGAGAGAAAAAGAGAGAGAGAGGAGAAAGAGGGAGAGAGGGGGAAGAGAGAGAGCATGGTCTGTACAAAACGTTACGTGACATATTCGATGATTGTATTTAAACAAATTGAGTTCACTTCCTTTCTTTGTCTATGCTGAATAATGTTTAGAAATTACGGCTTATTGTTTGCTATACGGGTTCTAATGGTTTATATATATATATATTTGGAGTATGTTAAGCAGTTGAAGGTACAAAACAGGAAACCTTGGACCTATGATTTATACTGTATACGATTTATCAACAGAGTTTATCAATAATCCTTATGTAACTAATGCTTATATATGTAATTAAACAACTGCCAACCAACATCTGAATCTAACTCATTACTTTAGTGGTCCTATATCTGACAACGTTTTACTATTTAAACTTGGATTAATTTTAATTTGGTTATTTATTCTCTGAAGAAGTGACTTACACTAAGTCACGAAACGTCAGAAAATACAATTTTCTACTCATTGGGATAATACAAATATATTATTTTTATGTATAATATGGCTCTAGTCCTCACTCCGAATGCACCTGCCAGCTGTTCTCCATGTATGACTTTAAAATGAATTCTGAATGATGTTGACGATTTTCTTCTCTACCTACACTATAGTAGCGGTGAATTTTTCCAGATTAATCCTGCTTTGCACCTAGCCCAGCCATTGAAGTCCAGAACACCAATCTCAATCTCTGCAGTATGAATCATAATCTTACTGTTTATCTTAATCTGAATGAATTATGACAACTTCAAAATAAAACTGATCTTCCTATTATCAAATGATACTTTCACATAGAACTTTCTCTAATTATTCAACTAATTCTCATTCTTTTTTTCTTCTTTTTGTTTGCTCTCAGATTTATTTATTTATTTATTTTTAACTTTTTTTCCACTTGACCTCACTTTATTTTTGCATCACTAAGATACATATTTTTCTTTTCGCTTTTCTTTTTTTAGAAAAAAATTTATTATTTTTGGCACCGTATTATTATTCGATTAAATGATAAGTGATCTCATGTGTAAAGATTGTCTCTTTTCCTTCTTTTTTTCCTTTTCTTTTTTTTCGTTTTTATTTTCTTTTTCTTTCTTAACTATTTATACTACTTAAATAACTGTGAAAGCTCATTCATTTTCTCTCTATTCTCATTGGTTATTCATTATTAACCAATCATATTACAGTGATTTCATTATTTAATAAATCATTATCACTATATATTCATGGTTAAAGTGGATATATATTTCACTTGTATATAAATGATATTTCATTATTAACCTATTTATTTATATTAAAATATGAATAATTTTTCATTATCATTACTTAGAAATAATGAAATGATTACTAAGACTACTTATATGAATATAAGTAGTTCTCATCTATATGATAATTATACTTATTCATGTATTGATCATTATCAATGGTTAGAATTATTTCATCAATATTATCAACGTATACATGTTTATTTATGTTTAATCTTATGTCCAATTGGTGTTATAGCTAATACATTAAATGTAATTGTATTATGTCAAACACGTTTACGTAATCCAACAAATTTATTATTAACTGTATTAGCTGTTAGTGATGGTTTTGTAATGTTTATTTATATAATATTTGATTATTTTTATTTAATGACACCAAGATTAATTATTGGTATGTCTAAATCATATGCCCAATTATTATTAATTAATATTGTATTACAAAATTTATTTCATACATTCTCTGCATGGATTATAGTTGCTGTAGCTATATTTCGTTTAATTTATATTAAAACTGGTGTTAGAGCTGCTATTTATTGTAATATGTTTAAAGCATGGATTGTAATTATATTAGTATTAATTAGTTCTATATTATTAACTATACCATTTATGATTGCACATCAAGTACGTATTAAAACAAATGATCATTTATTATTGATGAATTATCAGAATATAATCAATAATCAATCAGATATAATCAGATTCAATGATTCTAATTATAATAATATAATCAATAACCAATCAGATATAATCAGATTCAATCATTCTAATACTAATATAATCAATAATCAATCAGATACAATGATATTATATGAAGTTGATTATACAACTAATATAAATTTAAGAATAATATTATTTTGGAATTCAGCTATACTTGTTAAAGCATTACCAATATTAATCATGACAACAGTAAGTACAGCATTAATATTATCTATAAGAGAATCAGAGAAACGTTATCGTATATTAAGAAGATATCATCATTGTAAAAATTTTCAAATGACTATAGAAACTACAAGGGTTGAAAGTTTCATTCATAATAATAATAATAATAATAATAATAATAATAATAATAATAATAATAATGAGGATAATGATAAATCAATGACAGTACAACGTTCGAAACACAAATCGAATTCACATCCTGAAACATATTCTGGTGGACGTAGTGCAAATCAAACTACATATATGTTATTGACTATTATTATGTTATATATATTTACATATTTACCACAAGTAAGTTTAGAGATTTATTAGTTTATTTTTAAACAATATACTATTTAATAGTTACTTACTTACTTAATTACTTACGCCTGTTACTCCTAACGGAGCATAGGCCATCGACCAGCATTCTCCAAACCACACTGTCCTGAGCCTTCTTTTCTAGTTCCATCTAATTCTCATTCATTTTTTCTCATGTCTATCTCCCATTTAATGGTTATATATCCACAAAAACCTTCTGATATGAATCAACATATATTTACTAGTGACTGGATTCAAGAGTTATATACTGGAGCTCTAGTGAGAAGCAATGATCAGTGGAGTTCACCCGGGTCTGTGGTGAGATAGTAACTCACTGATGATAGTTGTGAATGTGTCGCTTAATTTCATGAATTAGTTACAGTTAGACATTAACACCATTGGACGACGGCCGACTCAGTGGTCTAGTAGTTATGCGTTCGCGTGCGAGACTGGATAGGTTCTGGGTTGAAATCTCGCGATGTGATATCGTGGATGTCCACTACTGAGGAGTCTTAAAATAGGACGAGTGTTTCGAGGTTTTCCATGGTTGTCTAAGTTCAAATGACTCATGATCTCAACTATTTGAATAGGATATCTCAGACTTACTTCAACTACTAATTAAGTTATTGTCCTGAAACATTAGTAGCATAATTGAGAAAAAATTCTGTGTATATAATGAACATTTGTATAACTAATGAATTAATTAACCACAAGGAAACGTAATCTAAAAGAAGCAGAACATAATTAAGTGTGTTTACCTTTTTTAAGAATCACATAAATCAATTGAATGGCTTGAATAAACGACTCTTTAAAAAACAGAAAGAAACATAAATCTCACGAATTTCTCATTCAAGTTGAAATATACACAATAGATTTATAGCGTTATTACCGTTCATTGATCATATTTTACCTTAATTTAACTACAATACTTTTCCCATGAATATCATTCATCAGTGAATGAAAATACAAATGGGGACTAACCGACTGTATCAGAATATAAAATTATAGAATATCTTATTAAAATCTGAGAACCATTTGCAAATCTCCATTCTTTGTCACACATTTCATTGTTTGTTCATTTTTTTTGCATATCAATTACTTTCTGTTTCCATTCTTTCCTTCTCGATCTTCTCGACAGTCTGAGGGCAGACATTCTATTCCCAATTAGCATTGTATACTACTTATATTGATATAAGTAGCACACATTCCACAATATTGCCATTAATTTTGTTTCAGAACATATTATTAAGAGACATCAAAATAGTGAATAAAAATGGAATAAGAACAAAGGTTGGTGCAGAATAATATAAATTCATTTTATTTCGTTGGGTGCTCATCAGCTGTTTACAATATAAAACATTTGAAATTCAACGTTATTATAGATATTGACATACATATACATCAGAGGGTGATGAAGGATGAAGTGCTTGAGATCAAACGGACTAAATGCATTCGGCAGCGCTATCTCAAGACATCTCCTTGACACAGGACACGAAGTCGATATATTGAAGTTCTTCAAGGTAATCAACAAACAATCAATTTCAAACCTTTTGAAATTTGCCGAAACGATAACAATCAAACGTTTAAAACCAGATCTATGAATACAAAAAGTGACAGTAATAACTCTTTCTTTTCCCTGGTAACGTTAACCCCCCCTTTTATTTATTACGTCATTCCAACACTTTCTGAATTTAATAATTACATCATTCATAACTGATCGATTTCCATTCATATCTTTCTTTAATACCATTAATCTATTTTCAGTTATTTCATTGCATAATAATCTAATGTGTTTTAATTCCATGATCCCTAGTCACTATTTCAATGTTCTGGAACCTTTCCTTCCAAACTTTATTTATTTGAAACAAAAGTTTTATGACCCCATTAACTCTAACGGAATCTTCGCTACATCATGATACAAATGTATTCATCCTTCATCACCCCCTGATGTATAAGTATGTCAATATCTATAATAACGTTGAATTTCAAAAAAATTCAGGTTGTAAGCAGCTGATGAGAACCTAACGAAATAAAGTGAATCCATCTATTATTCTGCACCAATCTTCATCCTTGCTCTCTTTAAGATAATAAAGGGAACTATGTGTAAAAAATGGAATAGATTACATGACTAAACATAATAAGTGAAAAGTACAAATTGTTAATGTAATGACAAGTGAACTATTTGTGATATTTAAATAATAAAGGCTTCGATCCATGTTACATAATTGGGTAATAGATCAGTCAATAGAAGAAAATATATACCCTGAAATGACAATCATAGAAAATCATTATATTACGTAATAAGTAGTGCATATAAATATTATTGTAAGATGAAAAGGTATTTGAGTCAAGCTGATTTTACCTGCATTATCCTCTACAATATTGTTGAGATTTATCTTAACTACATTATTATAAAACAGGAAATATCATTTAGTTACTATGCAATTTAAAATTCAATAAAGCACATCAGTCTATAACGCATGAATTGAAGTATTAACTGAGATGGTGACTTCTATCTAAAGGTTGTGCTGATGATGCCATTCAAAAGAACAATGAAAGCTTTACGACTAAACCATACAGCTTAGAGAACAAAACTCCATCAAGAAGAATTAACTCCCTAATATAAGCCAGGAAATACAAAGAGTTAAATGAGTTAACAAAGGTTTATTTTTTTGCTTTAGTCATAATTGCCTTACTGTTTATTATTATTATTATTATTATTATTATTATTATTATTATTATTATTATTATCATCGCTATTATTATACCTCCCTTTCATCCTACCTTAATTTGTATTTGTCAGGTGAGTACCTAGCCCTGTTACTTACTATTCGTTGTAAAATCTCACCAAAACGAACATCCTGAAAAATCGTTTAAATTTTCAAAAGGGGGTTTTGTGGAGAATTTAGTAATTTAATAGTTGAATTCATGAGTCTGTTGAAGCCAGACAACCATAGAAAACCTGGAAGCAATGGACGGCAGTTTCGTTCCATTATGGGACTCCTCAGTAGTGCGCATCAACGATCCCACTCCGAAAGATTCGAACCCAGAATATATCGGTCTTGCGCGCGAATGCTTAACCTCTTGCTATGTTTGAAGAGATCACCACTTCACCTGGTCTGCAAATGGAACAAGACTCTGTGGCCAAGGATCAATAAGCTAGTTATTCTGTTGCGTCACAGCCTCGCTAACTAGAATGAGAATTCCAAGTTCGAACGAGGAAATATATTTCGCAAGTAGGCAGAAGCACGAGCATCTATGGCAAGTCTAGTCGGAAATACACTTATTTACATATTGGTTTGTACACACATTTTTGATTAATGTTCAGAATAAATAGCATTTATGAAAGATAATTCATACAAGAATATTGTTCGTTATACAGAATAAAATGTCATAGGAGAAAACGAAACAATATCATACTGGGTAATCATCAAATTGAATTAAACGTAATTAATGTTGCATAAAAACCATAATGAGTAAATCAATTTAATTTTGACTTTTCATCCCGCCATAACACCTTTAGATCACTGAGTGGGCCGACATCTAATAGTGTTAATGTTTAATTTCAACTAATTCACGAAATTGAGCCACATATCACCATTATCTTCAGTGAGTTACTATCTCACAACAGACCCGGTTGAATTTCACTGATCACTGCTTCTCACTAGAACTCCATGAAACACTTCTTGAAGTCATTCACTAGTGACCAGGTGATGATTATTAACAGAATCAGAAGGGATTTTGTGAAAATTTCATTAGTTGAAATCACGAAAACAATGGTGTACACTGGCGCGATTTCGTCTATTGGTTGAAGTTAGACATTAACAACATTGGATGCCGGCCGACTCAGTGATCTGGAGGTTAGGCGTTCGCGTGCAAGACTGATAGGTCCTGGGTTTGAATCTCGAGTTGGCGTTTTGTGGAAATGCATTGCTAAGGAGTCCTATATTAGGACGAAACGGCCGTCCAGTGATTCCAGAGTTTTCATGGTTGTCTAACTTCAATTGACTGATGAGTTCAATTATAAACAGAATCTCGCGTACGGGATCGTGGAGTCCCATACTGATACGAAATAGCCTGCCAATGCTTCTAGATTTACCACTGTGATCTCAACTACTGCATTCTATATTTATTAATTAATAAGTCAGTTCTTTAAATGTTTCACAGTCGTTTTATAATCAGTTTATTTTCTTTTTCTATCTTCTTTTTGAAACACTGTTTATGACATAACAGTGATTTATGTTTATTTCCATAGAAGAAAAACATAGTCTACTTTAAGACTGGAATATTTCATAAATATCTAATTGTATATCACCAATACAAAGTAAAAAACAATATCATTTGTCAAAATTTTGTACCTTTTTGTTTTAATTTTTAAATGGAAATGTTCATTCATCTAAACACAACAACAATCACAACCACAAAAACAACAACCACAACAACAACAACCACAAAAACGACAACAACAACGGCAACTTAATATCAACATAAATAAACCGAATTCGACTTGCGTTGATTGTTTGAATCATACTATTGAAGTTTTAAATTGTAATCGATCAGTTTGAGAGTCTATAGCTAATCATTATCTATCTCTGCTTAAAATAGTTATGAGTTAAGGTAATATTATGGCAATTGGTACAGGATATATAAACTATAATCTTAAATATTAATGGGAAGATTCAAAATAAACAATACAAGATAGATTTAAGTTAATCTCATTGCATAAATTAATAGATATTTGGATTCAGTAAGTAAGTAGATAATAGGATAGCGTTTGAAGAAAACGGTTCTGGGTTCGAGTCCCGGACTGAACATCAATTTTGAGGATGCAGGTACATCCAGAGGACAAAAGTAAAACAGGACAAAACACACCTTTTGGATTATAATGATAACACTAATCTATCTTTACTTTTAGTTTGATTTTTGTTTTGAGGTTTATCATTACATTTAAACCTGAATATTTATTACAGTGTTTTGTATTACCATCCATAAAC